AAGTGGGAAGAGGAGTACTGTTTGTGTGTGGCCTCCTGTGTGGCCTTGGCGCCTTTGAGGGGCTTGAAGGAGAAAAGAGCTTTGTTAAAGTGAGAAGTGAAATAGTGTGTTGGCTGTGGGAATGGGAAGGGGAGAGGAACGAGGAATGGGAAGGGACTGAGGAATGGAAAGGCATCTACTGATGCTGTCATTTATTTGTTATGTCTGCGTGTAGCAGGGAGATTGCCAAAACTGAAACCAGTACACAGTTGAAAGCTGAACAAAATAACATTTATTCCAAAGAAAGTAGCAAACAAAATGAGAAACCGAGAGACAGAAAAGAGAAGGGAAACAAGCCTCCAAGACAACCCACCATTGACTCAAGTGTTACTTACCAGGTTGTCTTACCGACCCCAGAATGCTTAGAATTCCCCAGAGCAGAAGCTGAATCCTCATTATCTTCATTAGCCAATTTTCATTAATGTGAGGAATGCTGGGAGACTGTAGAAACATCAGTTCAACTTCAAAGTCTCCTGGTTTCTTTCTCTCCTCAGACTTAGAATCAGATCAGGATTCTCCCCTGTTTTCAGTCCTGCCTCCCAACTGACAGCCCGACTCCCAAAACTGCATACAAACAAAGATTCCTCCTACACCAATGGGGCCAGTACAGAAAGCTTTAGCTGTTCATGGAGTGCTAAGCCTGGTCCACAAACTGCACCACAAAGCCAAAGCTTCCAGTCTTTCTTTCCTGGAGATAAGGGCTGTTGTTTCCTGTTTTCAGCCCTGCCTCACAACTGACAGCCAGAGTCCCAAAATTGCATACAAACAGATTCCTCCCACAGCAAAGATGACAGCACAGAAAGCTATTGCTGCTCATGCGGTGGTCAGGCTGGCCAACCAACTGCACCACAGGACCAAAGCTTCCAGTCCTTCTTTCCTGGGGATAATGGCTGTTGTTTCCTGTTTTCAGACCTGCCTCCCAACTGACAGCCCTATTCCCAAAATTGCATACAGATGAAGATTTCTCCCAGAACAAAGGGGCCAGTACAGAAAGCTCTTGCTCTTCATGCAGTGCCAAGCCTGGCCCACCAACTACACCTAAGAGCCAAAGCTTTCGGGCTTTCTTTCCTGGTAATAAGGGCTGTTGTTTCCTGTTTTCAGCCCTGCCTCACAACTGCGAGCCTGACTCCCAAAATTGCATACACACAAAGATGCATCCACACAAAAGGTGCCAGCACAGAAAGTTCGTGCTCACGAGGGTTAGGGTTAGTTAGGGTTAGGGTTAGGGTTAGGGTTTTGGGTTAGGGTTAGGGTTAGGGTTTAGGGTTAGGGTTAGGGTTAGGGTTAGGGCGCCATTAGGGTTAGGGTTAGGGTTAGGGTTAGGGTTAGGGTTTAGGGTTAGGGTAAGGTTTAGGGTTAGGGTTAGGGTTAGGGTTAGGGTTAGGGTTAGGGTTAGGGTTAGGGTTAGGGTTAGGCAGAATCT